CATCCATCCATCCATCCATCCATCCATCCATCCACACATGCATCTATTCACCCAGCCATCCATCTCTCCCTCTTTCCCTCCTCCTATCTGTCTCTCTGTGGTTCCTGTGTCCATCAATCCTTCCATTCTCCTCCTTCCTACCATTGTGCTTAATTCGATAGCACCTAACAACAACAGCAAGCGGTACCAACTCACAGTGACCGTATGAACAATAGATCTGAACCCTGTCCTGTACGATCCTCCTCTTCTCTGACATGCTGGAGCCTCATGCTGCTGTCACTGTGTCGCTGTGTCAGTCCACCTGGTTGAGGGTCTTCCTCTTTCTTTGGCCCTCTACCTTTCCCAGCGTGTCTTTCTGAGGACTTCTGACAATGTGCCCACATCTGTGAGACAGAGTGTCACCATCCTCAGGTCAAGGGCAGGCTGGGAGTGGCAGAGCTTGTGTGTGGTTTGTCCATCCATCTTCAGAGCAGCTGGACTCCTGAGGGTCTCTGCGCTGTCAGACCTGGAATGTAAACCCTCACGTGCGTCCCTGGTGTGGAGGCCACAGCGTCCCCCCGACACCGCTGGCGGCTCTCTGCCCTTGTCTGGAGGTAAGTTTCTTTTTGCCAACTGCCCCTATAAACTGCCTCCATCTTCCTCCTTGATAAGCTCCCAGGAAAGGGTAAGCTTTTGTTAAAAAATGAGATCCCCAAACAATACCCTGAGGTAACGTCTAGTGACCCAGCCTCTTCCTTCACACTGTGGGTTTAAGGCCCGTCCTGCTGTGATGAGTGTTGGTGAGGAGTGTCATGCAGACAAGCGGTCCAGTAGATGGAGGGCCAGGCTGACCAACAGTCTTGTGGGATCCCCCTTTCGGTTTTTGTGAGCGATGCTGTGAATATCAGTGGACACATCTCTGTGTGGACACATCTCTGCGTGGACCTGCATTTTCTTTAAAGAGCTCTGCAGGTGAAGCAGGCTAAGTGCTAGACTGCTAATAAAAAAGTCGGTGGTTCGAACTCACCAGGTGAAGGAAGAGGAGACCATCTGGTTCTGTGAGGACGAGGCCTTGGGAGCCCTGTGGGCAGTTCCACTCTGTCCTGCAGGGTCTCTGTGAGTGGGAGTGGACTTGGTGCTGGTAGGTTTGATTTTTTGCTTCTTGGGGTGCAGGGGTTGCCAGCCCCCCAGCTGTGTCCGGCAAGGAAGGTCTGGTGAGCTGCTCCTGTTAAGATGACAGCCTACAATGCCCCATGGGGCAGCTCTGCTCTGCCCTCCAGGGTCACTACAAGTCAGAGCCGCAGTGTCCAGCATTGTGCAGATGCTTTGGCCCACTGGGAATTGGATGCATGAACAGAAGAATGGACAGGGTAGTGTCAGATGGCCTCAGCTAGGGGCTCTCGGGTGCAGGTGGTCCAGTGGTCAACTACATCACCAGCTCTTCCTATGATGTCCCTCATGGGAGGCGGCAGAGTGGGACTTACCTGGACATTAGAACTTGAGTGGATAATGACATGTCTTCTCAGAGGCCCCCTGACTTGGTATGAGCTCTCGGTGCAGGGTGCTGCCACCTTGCTCATGTCCATCTCCAGTACTCCCCTCTGGTGCTGGACCCGGCTCCTGCTGGCCCACTGACTGACCTGGCTCGCTGGCCTGTGCTCCAGGTCAAGCTCTGTCCTGGGTGCCTGTTCTGCCCCTGTCACTCCTTGTGTCAGGAGTAGACCTCTCAATGTGCTCTCCTCCTCCCAGGCC